CACACAGACATACACATAATTAATAATAAAATGAAGTTTTAAAACTCGATTTTCACTGTGAGACAGGAGTCACAGTAGCAAATACACAGACACGTATATATGTGTGTGTGCATATGTATGTATGTGTATGTGTATGTATATATGTATGTATGTATGTATGTACATAGCCCAAACTGAGAAAAGAAATACAGAAAGCTCATGCCTGTTATACAGACACAGGCAGTATGAGTCAGTCTTCTGTGCACTAAAGTTAAATGTATACATATTTCAATATGTTATAGCAAAAGGTCTCAAAAATTTGTTTCACTAATTTTTCAATTATAGAGAAAAATACATGAAAATTCAAAATTAGCAACATTCTGTACTGTTCATGCAAAAAATTTTCTTGTTATTTCATCACATATATTTGAAAGTTGTCAAGGAGATACTACTTCATTTTTGTTTTTTACTGTTGTTGGGTTGGAAGCACATTTCTGTATTTAGTGTTGCTGGGATGAAACTGAGGGTCTTGCACAGACTAAACAAGTGCTCTAACCCCAACTCCATGTTATCCTCTTACAAATACATCTAGCACTGCTAAAGATGGGTTCACTTAACAAAATTACAGTAGTAGGCTCTCCCCTACTGTGCCCAGACAGAACTCTCTTCTCAGGGACTACTACTCTCTCATAGCTCTGTAAGCACTGGGACTGCTCCTCATGCGTCCTCCAGAGCACCAACTTAAGCTCCCTTTCCTGCTCTCTGTCCTCCTGAATCCCGGGTGGGTCCTTGAATGTCTCAGGACCTCCTGCACAGCTGTCTCTTACATTAGGCTTTTCCTGTACAGTAGAGCTCTGTATCTTTCAGCCACCTTAAACAGAAAGGTTCTCCTGTTTCTTTAAAAAGCCACCTCACTGGTCACCTTCCTTATTGCCTGAGTTTTCTTAGTCTGGAGACAAAAAGGATTAAGATGGCAGCTCTTCCCCTGCCTTCACTTCCGGTGCTATTTTAGTAGTCAAAACCCTGCCATGAGGAGCACTTGCTGCAAGAAGCTGGGAAATGAGTGTTATAAATAGGAAAGCTCCAGGTAATATTCATCTAGAGGAAGCCCTAATTCATCAACTATAATACTAATACAAAATTTAAAAGATAATATTTGACATACACACCAATTTTTTGTGAACCCATGGCTCTATCACAATTGCCATAAGAAATTTGCCATGAAAATAATACTAGTGAAGGGACTAAGCTATTCAAGCATCAGATAATCCCTAAGCCTTTAAAAAAAAAAAAAAGAGCCCTGCCAGGCAGTGGTGACACATGCCTTTAATCCCAGCACTTGGGAGGCAGAGGCAGGCGGATTTCTGAGTTCGAGGCCAGCCTGGTCTACAGAGTGAGTTCCAGGACAGCCAGGGCTACACAGAGAAAACCTGACTCAAAAAACAAAAAAACAAACAAAACAAACAAAACAAAAACAAACAAACAAACAGTCTAAACTTCATAAAAGCCTCTATGGATATATTCCCATAGTCATGGATATATTTCCAAAGTCAGATTGATGGTCCATATAGAGCAAAAAAAAAAAAAAATCAAGACCATTTAATAGAGCAAAAGCAAGATTCAAAAATCTTTAAGTTCTCTATAATAAAATCTCCTATGCATTGATAAAAATGATCTCATGAGAGAGTGAACAAGAAGGAGCAGAGACATGAGGAAGATAATGAAACAAACTGGAAACTGAGACAATTTGAAAGTCCCTGCCAAATATAAAATCAGCTTTCACTTACAATTCTTCAAGAGAGGCTACTCATGTAACCTGTAGAACGTAACTTTATTGCATAATATACAAATGAGGTAGCGGATGAGAGCAATTTGGCAACACTCAGAGCAGGACTTTAAGATGGGTGTTCTAGTGTTTCCTAAACACTAAGCCCTTGGAACAGATAAGTGTTTTGGAAATAAAAGGATGGTCGGAAAAGCTAGGAAACTGTCAGCCTTTACAAAACTGACCTTTGTTTGTGTTTTGCTATAGGACTTCAAAGCCTTTGGTGGGTTTGTGTGCACTGTCAATCTCCTAGAGGAGTTAAGTAAAGCACCTTGCAAATTCATTTTACCACAAACCCCTATTAATGTCTCCCAGATGGTTTCATCCCAGGTAGCTTTGGAAATGCTCTGATGTCACATGCACGTGACTATTTAACTGTTCCTAGTTTGGCATGGCACAAAACTAAATACAACCACATGTTTACTATCCAGGACTTTATGTATTAAATAGATGTTTCCCATTTAAAGTGAAAAAAGGGAAGTAAGAAGAGGAAAGTGGTCTGGGGATTTTCTGCCTACATTCCTTACACACCTGCTCCTGTAGTCTGAAATCTGGAAATTGGAGCTGGATGCCCAGCTCAGCACTTATGTCTTTCTGGGAATCTGGTAAACAACAGGGGAGACTTATTCATTAATATCAACTTGAGAATTCCCAGTTCTCCCTGTCAAATTTTCTGTCACTAAATCCCAAGCAGGCAAGATGCTCTGGGCAACCAGCTCAGATAAAGACAGCTAGTAGCAGCAGTGCTTTCCAGATAAGCATCCCAGAATGCCTGCTAATGCTATTGTGACCAAGTCCAGGTTTGCTGTGGATACAAAGTGGGAGTCTCAATTTCTTTGTGCCTTCAGCAGGAGGGTGTGGAGAAAGTCACAGTTACAAGTGAGCACAACAGATCTACCACCTGTCTTGATGTCCATATAGATACTTAGACTCCCAGGATTGAGAGAAAGAGGGTGTAAACACTTCAGTTTAGGAAGGGCTCTACTATTTACTAGCTGTGGACCCTTGGTAACTTACTTAAACCTGCCATTCTCCTTGTCAATAAAAAAAGAATATTAGTACCTACTTCATAAGAGTTTGGGGAGATAAAATTATGCATTAAAAGTGATTAGTACAACAGTGGTGGCGCACACCTTTAATCCCAGCACTTGGGAGGCAGAGGCAGGCGGATTTCTGAATTCGAGGCCAGCCTGGCCTACAGAGTGAGTTCCAGGACAGCCAGGACTATACGGAGAAACCCTGTCTCAAAAAACCAAAAAACAAAAAACAAAACAGAAAGAAAAAAACAAAAGTGATTAGTACAATGTCTGGTCTGATGCAGATGCTAAATTAACATAGTTAATAATTTTGCATAAGCACAAATTATAACATAGGATACACTTTGGGTAGAACTAGGGATTGACACAAATAGCAAGGACTCAATTACCACTTCTTAACAAGTCAATATCTCTTGAAGCCGGTGCCAAATTCTAGAAAAAGATTCTTCACTTGTTTATATGCAGATCAGGAAGAACTGGGCTCTTTATTATCCTTCAGACCAAAGCAAAAAGCCAATACCTCATGGCATTTGTATCTTTTTTTTATTGGATGTCTTACTTACATTTCTGATGTTCTCCCCTTACTCCATCCCCCCTCCATGCCCAGGAACCCCCTATCCCCTCACCCCACCTCCTGCTCCCCTGTGGATGTGCCCCTACCTACCCCTCCACTCCCACCTCCCCACTCTCAAATTCCCACCCACTGGGGTGTCCATCCTTCATGAGACCAAGGATCTCTTCTCCCACCTATGCCTGACAGGGCCATCCTCCCTTACATATACAGCTGAAGCCCTGGATCCCTCCCTAAGTGCTCCCAGGCTGGTGGTTTAGAACCTGGGAGCTCTACTTGGTTGGTATTGTTGCTCTCCTCATGGGGCCGCAAACCCTTTCAGCTCCTTCAGTCTTCACTCTAACTCCTCCATTGGGAACCCCATGATCAGTTCAATGGCTGGCTGTAAGCATCTGCCTCTGAATATGTCAGACTCTTGCAGACCTCTAAGGAGGCAGCTATATCAGGCTCTTGTCAAAATGTACTTCCTGACTTCCACTTCAGTATCTACCTTTGGTGACTGCACATGGGATGGATACCCAGGTGGAATGGTCTCCAGATGGCCCCTCCTTCAGTTTCTGTCCCTCACTTTGTCTCCATATTTGCTCCCATGAGTATTTTGTTACTCCTTCTAAAAAGGACCAAAGCACCCCCACTTGTTCTTCCTTCTTCATGAGCTTCATGTGGTTGGTGAGTTGAATCTTGGGTGTTTCAAGGTTCTGGGATAATATCCAATAATCAGTGAGTGAATACCATGTGTGTTCTTTTGTGATTGGCTTACTTCACTCAGGATGATATTTTCTAGTTCCATCCATTCGAGAAATTCTTAGGTATTTGTATCTTTGGATTAGTGGTTGCTAAAGACCATGTAATTGTGTGAAGAAAGGATATGCAAATGCTACAAATGGTTTCCAAGACTGATGCTGAGACTCACCACATCAAAAGATATGTCCTGTTCCACACAGAGCAACAAAATAGAAATCTTGACTCTCCATAGCCATCTCTCAACATTTTCACCAACAGCTAGAAGTGACCTTTAGCACTATGTATACTACCCATGGGTTTCCTGTTCCCTCTCATTTCCAAATCTGGATGGGGAAGCCCATGGTAGCACACAGGCAAAGGTGACACAGTGAACTTACAGGGAAAACAGATTCTGAATACACACTCTCCCTTTCCAGCTCTTTCAGTTTATTAATCTGAGTGGAAATGGCATCCTTAAGAAAAATACTGTGGGCCCAAGCCAGAGCACAGGCTAACAGCCACTTATTTTCAGTATATGTGGAATTAACACACCTCCTAAACTGTCATTGAACATATGGTCATTCAGGCTGCATGTACTATACAGAACACCCATGTCCCCTGACCCCAATTACAGATACACCCTTCTACTTCTCTTTGTGTAGAAAAACTACACACAACTCCCAAGAACCAGAACTGAAAGTGTAATTGTTAGCTTACTAAAGAAACTTCCTTTTCCACATGAGACCATACCTGAATTAGGAGAAATTAACTGCTATTTTCTTAATCCAGAAATTAATTGGAGACTCCAATGCAAAGTAGCATCTTGGTCGGACAACAGTTTGAAGAAATCAAATATGTCACCTACCTGTGTTGGACATGGTCGTGGAGGAAGTGCCGGTGGTGGAGGCAATAATCCTGAGTTAGCAGCTAAAAAAAAAAAAAGAATACTGTTAAGAACCACCTTTCCATAAAAAGACAAAAATGTATTCAACTAATAATATTGATGACATTTAGCATGCTTCTGTTTATTAAATCCCTTTGAAGGCTTAATTTTTTTAAGTCTATACTATTCACAATAGCAAAATTATATTATAAGCCTAGGTATCCATCAGCAGATTAATGGATAAAGAACCTCCATATATATATATGGGAGTCTTATCCAATAATAAAGAAAAATGAAATTATATCATGTGCTGGAAAATAGGTACAACTAAAAATCATATTAAGTGAATAAGCCAGACTCAGAAAGACAAATACCATGTGTTTTTTTCTCATTTATGGATCCTATATTATATACAGATATATAAAGCCATGAAAGAAGAAATGAAACTAAAGGAGGAGAACAGACCTACCAAAAGGGATGAAAGGGAAGGGAACCAACAGAAAAGAATGGGAGGGGTGAACACAGTCAAAGCACATGATATACTTGAAAGAAATTGACATATAACCTGAATATATTCCAATAAAAAATGCATGTTATTTCCAATCCCCTTTTAATCTTCATCTTACCCAAAATTCAAATATTTATGAAGGTGGTGAAGATAAAACAAGAGAAAAACATAAGGAAAACATTTTGTTGTTGTTGTTGTTTTAGCAAAAGACTGGATTTCATATGGAAAATGTGGTCGAGTCCTTATTCTGATGCTATTTACTCATTTAAAAAAAAAAAAAACAGGTTCAAATAAATCAGGCCATAAAGAATCTTCTTTGAGTTCTCATATTTCTCACTAGCTTCCAGTCATTATTGTTCATTAGCTTGGTGCGTAGGCTGCAGTAAAGGAGGGGCCTGGGCTCAGCAGCTCTGCCACCTATGAAGAAATGGACTGGCCAGCAGTAGAAGAAACAAAAAATGATGAATTAGCTTTCCTAATTTCAAAGACTTCTTTCTTTTCCCCTCTCCTATTGTTACTAGTAGCAAGGGTAACTAAATATGATTCTAAAATAATCTGGCCACATCTGAAGGATCTTTGGAAAGAAAGTTGAAGTCTAACATTTTCTTTATGAGATACAGAGAATACCTGAGGAAGGCAAGAACGTCCAAATTTTAACTTAATAATGCAAATAAAGAGCTGATATGGAATTAGAAATAAAATCCATGATCACACACAAGAAGTAAGTTTATAACCATACAGTATCAAGTTAAACACATTCTTTACAAACTACTCTGAAAATACCGGATCTATATAACTGTACATAGTTTATTCACAAGTCTGTAGTAACTGTGCTAATATTAGACAATGTTCTGTCCCTTAAAAACAAGAGCCCCCTATAAGGCTCAGGCATCATTGTGGAGGAGAGGACAGAAAAGATTGTAAGAGCCAGAGACTTGAGAGAACTGAAGCAAAACAGTATCTTCTAGACACAACAGGGCAGCTGCACTCAGGAACACAGAGCAGCTTTGGTTGCTGCACGGGACTGTACAAGGCTAAGCCAGCCAACATTCTAGCATGAAGGGGGAAGTTCATGAAGAGTAACTGACAGTAGTATATGGCTTCTAGAGAGCAGACAGTCCATTTTCCTTAATATATGGCTGTTGGTAGGTCCACCATGCTCCAGTAGATGGCCCCACACCCAGAAGCATTTGGGCAACACATTAAACTCACCAGGTTATTAAAAAGAGGAGGTCCATGAAGTTGGGGGAATGAGATAGATCAGGGAGGGGTGGGATTAAATTTGATCAAAACACATTTTATAGAATTAATAAAAGTATATTGTTAAAAAGAAATAATAGTGGTATATCAAGAGCATAAATATTCTTGTACTTTCAAATGAATTTGACCTCTCTGGATCAGAAAAGCCAAAAGATGGAGCTTGGAGCTTTACATAGATTTGACTTAGAGTAATGTCACGGAAATGTTTATTCTTGGCTAGTGCATGGATATAGTACCACCAAGTGTGTCCACCTGGGATCTGCCCTTCATTACAGTTTCTAAAACACATCATAACTCCACAGGCTGAATAGGCATCGGTAAGAGGAGCAGAAGAGAATGTTTACAGCCATAAGGATGACACATCTCAGAGCCCCTAATGTCCTCACAAGTTAGGCTTTTAAATTACTACCAGTTACTTTTAAAACAAAACAAATAGACAAGCAAAATTTGTACACTTTCTAAGGCAAATGCCAAGCAATAAAAAGTGCAGTTATCAAAAAAGATTGCTCAAGAAATAAGCTGTTTAAATACATTGGCTCAACTTCCAGCCAAGATGGAGCAATAAAGAACACATATCCTCATCCAGCTGAAGCAATCAAACATAGAAAAACAAATGAAACAACAATTTCCATGATACTGGGACAAAACATGTAAGGAGAGTTTTGGAACCACAAGAAAATTAGGCAAGATAGTGATCTCTGAGAGACAGGAAACAAAAAAGGGGAGCCCTAGAACTGACTCCACTCGCTATCTTGACCTGCTAGAGAAATGACATAAATCCAGATCCAGGTCTGATTTTTGCTCTTTTAAAAAAATCATTATTCAATTTTATTGCTTGAAATTCACTGAAAATTGGCCCAAATTTTGAGCTGTAAAACATTGAGATCATTTAAAATGTAATCCTAAAATGAACATGGGTACATACTTGTAATCCCAGCACTCAGGATCTGAGGCAAGAGAAGTGCCACAAGTCTGAAGCTAGTCTGGGGTACTGATAATAAGACCTTGTGCTCAATTAAGTGCTTGCATGTGTACGCGTGCACACATTCATGTACGCACACACACAAGGCCGTATCACAGTTTCTTACACCTAAACTTCAAGCAGCAAGATAGTAGCATAGGGTTGTATGCATTTTTCATTCTGAATCTTTTAAGAAAAGGTATTAGTTCCTTAATAAATACTAAAATTAGGGGAAACCAAATATACTGCACCACAAATATTAACAGCTTCATTTCCTCACTTCAGTGCCTTACTACTTTTTTCCAACCAACCATACCTATCTAACACAAATACTATAAAACTGAATTTAAACTTTAAATATTTGTTTTCATTTTATGTGTATTACTGTTTTTCCTACACATATGTCTGTGTAGCACATAATACAGCACCTGTGGAAGCCAGAAGAAGATGTCAATCCCCTGGGGCTGAAATTACAGACTATTGTGAGCCATCATTTAACTTTTGGGAATTGAACCCATGTCCTCTGTATAATAGCCAGTGCTCTTAAGCACTCAGCTCTCTTTCCAACCCAAGGCTGAATTTAAAGGTGATAATTGGAAGTAGAGAGTGCTGCCTCTCAAATTATCTTAGTACTGGGAAGGTTAATACAGCAGGATCTTAAGTTCATGGCCACCTAGGTTATACAGCAAGACCCTGTCTCACAACCAAAGAAATAACTTTTTAAATGGTGAGTGTTAGCATTTTGTCTAAGCTCAACTCCACAGTTACCTGGCAACAGTCAGGTATGCCTGACTCACTATAAAAGGAGCTGCATGCTCGGTCTGCTCTTGCTCTTGCCTTCTTGTTCCTGCTCTGTCCTCTGGTCCCTTTCCCCCTGTCTCTCCATGTACTCATGGCCGGCCTCTACTTCTCCTCTTCTCTTCTCTTCTCTTCTCTTCTCTTCCCTCCCCCATCTCCCCTCCCCTCCCCTCCCCCCCTCTCTGTGTCTTTCTCTGCCTCTACTACCCTCTTAACTCCCCTCCCCATGCCCTGAGTAAACTCTATTCTATACTATACCAGTCCCTCAGGAGGAAGGGATGCCTCAACATGGGCCTGCTGAGGCACCCCTTTCCCCCACACCTGACTACACATTCACCCAAAACATATCCCCTCCCTCTGTATTTTTTTATAAGCACATCAGTGATAATGGACATGTCAGTCTTTTCTTCAAAGAGAAATATCTATGGATTCACACGATAGTGTTTTCCATAGGTTTACTGTAGATATCCTTTAATAACTTATGAAAATTCTCATTTATTCTTTTGATACTTTACCATGACAACCTAATGGTGAGTTTTAACTAGCACTGCAATTGTATCTATTCATATGATAATGTAATTTCTTATAATGTGATAATATGCTAAATGGCACTATGGATTTTCTAACATGAAAGCAAGACCTAATTCAAATTGCTCAGATTTTTCTATCTCCTGGATAAAATTGGGTAATATTTTGTTTAGGATATTTTGCAACCATATTCAAGGTGATACTGACAGTCATGATTTTCCTTTCTCATGTAACCCTTGGTTATGCTCGATTTAGCCGGAAAGCATCCTCCTATTCCTCATTTTTCTGGAACAGGTTTTACAGATTAAGAAATTTTTTCTCAAGTATCAAGTTAAAACTTTCCAGCAGAAACATCTGGAAGAATTTTTTGCCTTAATTTAAAGTAGGAAGATCCACTTGTAATCCAATCATTGAGATAGAAAGACACACCTTTAATCCAGATCTTTTGATCTGAGAAAAGATACATCTTTAATCCAGATCTTGAGAAAGGATAATTCACCTTTATTGTGGTCCACGTCTTCTGCTGGAAGCCTATATAAGGACTTGGAAGAAGAAAGCTTTTGCTCTGTCTGGTTACTCTCACCTCACTTAGCGAGTCCATTCCTTCACTGGCATTAGAGCTCACTTCTTCGGGATTTTCTACTGAAAACCAGCTGAGACTTCCAGCCTTGAAGACTGAGCAGCTACTGGATTTTTGGAATTTCCTTTCATAGGCAGCCATTGTTGTATTAGCTGGACTGCAGCCTGTAAGTCATTCTACTAAATCATTTTCTATATATACACAAAGAGATTCATTCTATAAGTTCTGTTACTCTAGAGAACCTTGACTAATAAAACAATCTTCTATAGCGTGTGTTTGTTTTAGATTTCATTAATCTTTCATTGACATGCTTTGGCCTTGCCTTGTTCTACCTTAAACTAGTTGCTTATATTATTGGTTTATAGCTCCTCTCTTTTTATACTGAGATAAAATTAAAATTTTTAT